CAAGCCCAGCTCCCTCAGCCTGTCTTTGTAGGGAGGTGCTGCAGCCCTCTGCTCACCTTTGTGGCTCCTCTGGACCCTCTCCTACAGCTCCCTGTCTTTCTTGTCCTGGGAGCAATTGCATTTCATCACCCAGTATTGTGTTGGTGGTGTAGTGAGATGTGTGGAAGGGAGAAGAAAGGAGCCCCAGTCTGTAATTCTACCATAGCAAACAGTTGTCTGCAGTCCTGGTGGAAGACTGGGAGTTCTGAATCTATTCAGACTCGTGGTTCATAGCAGTGTGCAAGGAGCATTTTAGAAGTTTCCAGGAAAGGAGTGGGCCACATGGTTGTGCCTCTCTGTATTGCATCTGTTCAGTGTGGAGTAGAATTGGAAGATGTAGGGGAGGTTGAGGGGCCTCGGGTCACTTCCACTTAAGTTTACAGCTTTACAGCTTCATGGGTGGAGAGATGGAGGGTTGTCTTAGCTTGTTAAACTTGTGCAGGTCTGGAGAAGCTGAAAAGACTTGTTCACCCTTTCATTTTATACGTGGCATCTTATAAAACCAAGAGGTGCTGCGTTCAGAGTGAACATCTTCAGAAGCTTCAGCATCAAGAAATTGTGAATGCAGAATGCTACAGATGGCTCACAGGTTTTAAATGTTGTTAGACAGATTAACAGCTGGAATGAGCATCAGGGAGTGCTGAACGAGAAGTGCTGCATCTTGGTCAGCAGGTGCCAAATTAGCAGTTCCCAAATTAGGTGCTGGAAGGATGTCTGTCACGTGTTGCCATGTGTATGTGTGCTTTCTGTGTTTGCCTGTAGATCTGCTGCTGATCTCTGCTGAAGGTGGGCTGTAAGGCAGAGGCAGGCACTGGGAACTGAGGCATTTCTCTGCTTGTGTTGCACTGATTCTCAGTTTTAGAGCCATTGTTCCACTTCTCCCACAAGCCTGGACAGCTGAGTCACCAGCAGTGCCATCATCTCAGTTCTTTGTTCTTCCTCTTGTAGGAATTGTTCTAACCAGAGCTGGCTATTACACCATCCCATCTATGGAGGAGCTGGCCAAGTTCACCAATGACAAAAATGAATGTATTGTGACTGACTTCACCATAGGCCGTAAAGGTGAGCACCTAAAGCATTTCTCCTTGTTTACATCAGAAATGGTGATTTTTAAAGCTGTGGAATCTGAATCTGAGTTCCATACTTCAGTCTAATGCTGAGCAGCACCCCTGCATTGTGAGCAGCTTGCAGTGAAATGAGAGATGTTCACACTGACATTGCTCAGCTGGTGGATGAGCTGAAAGCTGCAGTGGGAAAACAAACAGAAATGCCAGTAGCTTTAAGATGCCTGCTGTCCTTGAGCAGAGAGATTGGTAGAGGAGCTTGCAGGAGCAGAATGCAAACCTGATTGTTGTTTCAGTCTTACTGCCTGCACTGGAGCTGGCTGGGCTCTAATACAAAGCCTTCAGCCTGAGCTGTGTTCTTTACTGCTTCTATTTAAAAACAATAATTAAAAAAATTATATAGCATGTACTACTTTAAAATACTTTGTCCACGTGCCATAAAACTGAAGGTGTGGTTGGCACAGAAAGCTCTTTGTACTGATGTTGTCAAAGAGCTGACAGTGAAGTTGATGGCATCTTCAGTATTTTCATAGTGGGAAGTGGGAGCCAGCTGTGCTGTGTTCTGAGGTGTGGCAGAGACTTGAGCTATCTGTCAGGAGGTAATCAAGGGCAATTAGTGATGCTGGGCTATGTTTGTTTTGCTTTCCAGGTTATGGATCGATTTTCTTTGAAGGAGAAGTGAATCTGACCAACCTGAATCTGGATGACATTGTGCATATCCGTAGGAAAGAGGTTATTGTCTACCCAGATGATGAAAGAAAGCCACCTATTGGTGAAGGCCTCAACAGGTAATGCTGTGCACACACTCTGCAAGGTTGTTTTTATTGTGTTGGCACTGTTTGCAGGCAGCTGCTGGGAAATGTAAATCTGCAGTGGGGGTTCAGGCTGCAGCACCGTGCAGTTGCTGAGTATCTGCAAGGTTCTTAACCAGAAATTTGGTTATAAACCTCTTCTGAGGTGCAGCAAGTAGAACAAGGGGCCCAGTGTTCATCTCCTGTGTGTGCTCTGATAGCCCTGTGTGAACCCTTGTTGTCACTTATGCTCTTGTCCATCTCTAACAGACGAGCTGAAGTTACACTGGATGGAGTCTGGCCTACAGATAAAACTTCTCGTGGCTTGATAAAAAGCCCAGAACGGCTGGCAGAGATGAATTATGAGGGCAGGCTGGAGTCTGTGTCTCGGAAGCAGGGCGCTCGCTTCAAGGAGTACCGCCCTGAGACTGGATCCTGGGTGTTCAAGGTAATGGTCCTGTCCTCCTGTGGGCTGCATGGAGTAGCAGCAGTAGTCTGAGAAGTAGTTCTGAATTCAGACTGTGCTGAAACGTGAAGTCCTTTCCTGTAGCATAAACTGTGCTGACTGAACTGGCCCAAACTTCTTTGAGTGGCTGAAGGCGTTCAGTGGAAGAGCTTCCTTACTTAGAGGGTGACTGAGTGCTGGCAGTGGTACTCAGAGAGGCTGAGGAGTCTCAGAGCTCTTCAGAACCATTTGGCCATAATGCTGGGCACTCTGCTCCCAAGGTTTCACAAACCCCATCACAGAATGGTTGGGTTGGAAGGGAGCTCAAGGATCACGAAGCTCCAACCCCCCACC